ATAAAATGTTAAAAACGTGCTGTCCAACCCGATACTTACACTAGTTCATGCAGTTATTACGTCTAGTTTGGACTACTGTGATCAGGACCCACATAGACCTTAATGGGACTGTATCACCCCAGTCCTGCACTTTGCTCTCAGACTGCTGGTTTACTTGTGGTTCCTAGAATATTTAAACAGGAGGTAGAGCCTTCAGTTTCCAGTCTCCTCCCAGTGGGAACAGCTCCCAGTTTGGATTCGGGAGAAGACACCCTCTTTGTTGTGGTGGAGGGGCATCCATCATAATCAACTATAACTTCACAAACAGTGTGTCTGGACTTCAGGAGGATGTTGAACAGAATGCAGTAATTTGCAAAATATGCCGTAAAACTACTGCTGAAGATCGCAGTGCAGTGAATTTATCCTATTAGCTGCAAAATGTTTTAAACTCTGCACGTCAGCGTCTCCCCACACACGAAAGAAAACGCTAAGCTGTGATACCTGTGACTGCTCTTCAGGCCTTTTCTAGACTTTTCTTTCTGTAATTTGAGGTCATCACAGTTTTTATTTTACAATTTTTATATGTTATAATCACAAAGGAGCACGTTTTTAATTTTAGTCTGATTATTTTGTCGTGTGAATTTGTCGCACGGATTCTAATTATTCATCATCTGTTCACTTATTTTAACATTTTATTGGGATTATAAAGTTCAAAAGATCATCAGCGCCGTGTTGTTGGGTTAGTCATCATCACCCACACGCTGGCTGACCAGCCATCTAAACTTTGGTCTGAAAAGCGTTAGGAGGTAATGGTTTTCATCTTTGGCGTTATCCTGTCAGCATGGTGAATTTCAATGTTTCCCCATGAAGCATGAAAATGCTGTAACTCACCATGAAACAGGAAGCTGTTGTTCCTAGATCAGGAATTCTTAAGTGAAGGCTTTCACAGTTTTAATGAGTTTACTACAGACTGTGGTAAATAAGCTAGCAGCTAGCTCCATACTTACGTCTATCTGCATGTGAACCTGATGTTTGTGAACAAGAAATTAGTGTTAATGAGCTGTTAGCTTTTATGAACTCGTATGACCTTCCTGGGGAGCGTCCTTCCTACTCTACAAATACAGATACACTAACAGTGGTGACACAGACACTGTTGCATGTGTGTGAGTGGAACAACATCACTCACTTTATCATCTGATGTGAACTCAACCACCTACACATCCACACTAGTGAGAGGAGAACACTAACTCCCATCACAGTGAACATGCACGGCTTTGGCATTGATGTCGTGGACAAGTACAAATTCCTGGATGTTCACCTTCACAATAACCTGGTCAGAAAACACCCCAGATCTGTCGCAGCAGATGGCCCCGCCCCTCCCTGAGCCGGAGGTTTCTTCCTGTTAAAAGGGAGTTTTTCCTTCCCACTGTCGCCAAAGTGCTCATAGGGGGTTTGAGTGGGTTTTTCTCTGTAGGGTCTACTGTAAAGCGCCTTGAGGCGACTGTTGTTGTGTCGCTGTATAAATAAAATTGAATTGAAGCTCTGCTGGGCGGGCTGAGGTGTGCGGGACTTTTTAGTGACTCCTGCAGTCTTTTACCTTCTAACACCTTTGTACAGGTATGTGACAACTCCCCTGGTGGGGAGGTCATCCCTTCATCCCAACAG